AAACACTTACCCCTTCTCCGCACCATACTCATCTTGTTTGTTTCTTTTGTTCGATCCTCTGGAAGACATATTTTTTTAAAATTAAAATAAAAAGTTTTGTGATACAATTGACACATACACACTAATTATTTATCCATTGGTTTATTTGGTAGGACAGACATGAATGATTTTTTTTTTTTTTTGGGGAAAAACAAAAAACAATTTATTTTTTGACAGAGCCCAAGGTGACAAAACGTGAGTGTTGTTGTTTGGCTTGGTTTGGGTCTCCTAAAGAAAATGTGTTAATAACTAACCAGAGGTACTTTTTTTTACTTGTATTGATATTTTTGGTTATTATAAATATTTTAATTGGAAATCAAAACGCGGAGCAGATCATTGTTGGGTAATTACAAGATTTTCATTGATAATATTTTACTTTTCGTAATCAATATTAATAATATTATTATAATCATAAGAAGGTGTCAAGGCAGAATACTGTTACAGAAGTAACATTTTGAATATGTGATGTTTGATTATCAGAAATTGACAGGTGTTGAAGCACACATGCTACCTTAAACACTTTACAGTCATTCACACATCTTCCTCATGTACATAAGGCTAATCTGACTTGCGCCTGATAATACAATGATGCAACCAAATTCCAGGGAGGGGGAAAGATGCCCTGGAGTTTACCAAGACTGCATCAATTGTCAATGACACTTTCACTAATCTTCCCTCACCAGAGAAGGCTGCTGACATGCTGGATGAAAAGTTGCCTGCAACGATCCTACCTCCAGGGTAAGGATGGCTCTGTGACCAAGTCGCAACTCTGCAGATGAATATTAGTGCCATGTAAATATCCAGATCCATCAAAGTAACAAGAATCTGCAACTTGCTCAAGCACAGGAGGTCACAATTCAGAGCAGGGTTGGTGGCCCTGAAATTGCTTTTGGGCTCTGATGTTAAGAGAAAAGTTGTAAAATAGTGTTTGTTGTATAATCACTTTCCTAAATTCTCTGTTTCTCTGATACTAACCAATTTAATGATTTTGGATAGGGGACTGGATTGGGTTTTTGCCCAATCAGTCCCCCTGTCCTGTAGGTTAAAATTATCACATGATTATATACATCCTTGTCAGCAATGTGGCCAACAAGAAAAAAGTCATAAAATGGTTTGGATTTTGGTACGTTATGTTATAAATTAATCATTTTCATAAATTTTCTGCTTTTCTTTAATTTTTATTTGTTCGAATGGAGGTAGGGTTGTTGGTGAGTAGGCATGCCACTGACAAGACAGGAGACACCTTTGAGATATACCAGCCAAACTCATAGAAAGGGATCTTTTGTCCAGACTTAGGGTCACATGGATGTTAAGCACAGAAAATGTACACTATCAGTTATATTTTTTTTCAACAAAATAAACATTTAAATAATTAATTGTTAAATATTAATGCTTTTCTTTTCATAAAAACTACAGCAACCCAGGACTCAAAACTCTGAATCCAGGGAAAAACCAAAACAAAAACCCAGGTTGCAACTTCCAAGTTGGAGAATTTTCAAGCCAGTCTTAATGCCAACTTTGTACTGGAGAGGTATAACATGCAGCAATCATCACACAAATGCCAGCTATCAGTGATCATTGCCCATATGATAACAGCCAAGCCTGGTCTGAGGAGATAAGAAAAGTTTTGTCCAAAGCCTTCCAACTTGTTCAAGTCGCTTTCACCTGTGGAAAAAAAAATTCCATGGTGCTGAATGGTGCTTAATTGCACGGCGCTTGCTTGTTTGTGATAGGAAAGTTTTAATTAAATCTGACACTTGAGATCAACATCAGATTTATTATTCATGAGCAACAATAATTGATAATCAGGAAGAATAATTTATTATTGTGAATCCCAGAGATCTGGGTAGACACGCATTGTTAAGAGTTTTGTTTATGCATGGCCTTGTTATCATTACTACCTGGGTGATGCAATTGTTGGTTATGTCAATGATGATATCAAATGTATTGAATAATCATTGTGATGTATGTGGGAACAAAGGAATTCATATATGAGGAAAGTATTAAATAGCAATATTGTGTTTGTCTATTTTATTTTTTATTCTATCCAAGATATATAATTAATTATATTGAAAATATATAAAATAAAAAATTGCCAGAGCGATTGCATGGAATACAAGGCTGGACCAATAACACAATTATATGCATGTTTCAAGGTCATTCAAGCAATTATTTGAATACATTGGTGCACTTTTGTATGCAATTTAAAATCCTTTTATATTAATTTAGAGTCACATCTTTCATTGCTTTTGTAGGTTGCATTTTACAAATCAAGTTATTTACCTTAATGTAATAATCATTATATCAAATTAATTTAACTTAGATTTTCAAAAATTGATATAATTTTTCTACAATAATAGTATTTTCTATGTTTATGATCAACAATGTGTGGAAAAATTCATTGGTAAAGGCAATCAATTTTTTATTAACTTGTTATTGATGAAGTAAAATATTACAAATATTCATTTATTGTTTGCTTTTTAAGTTGTATTTTCCCATTTTGATTATTGATGATGATAATCTAGGCCATAATTACTTTTCATTGGAGCCAATCGATCAAATTTTTCAAAATCACAATCATATCTTTTAAGTCATTACCTAAAACCATTCCATTGATTCACCTAAGTTTAATTCCATTCATATACTTCCTTTCAATTTTAAAACAATTATAAAAAACCTACAAAGTGAACAAAAGATTATAAAATTATATATATATAGGGATAAGTGTATATGAAAAGTAATAAATATAATGGTTCTAATGAATATGAAAAGGCAATTGATTTTTTAGAAAAAGGTTGTAGTTGTGGTTGCTCTTCAAGAATTCCCAAGGAAGAATTTGCAGAATTAAGGGAATCTTTTCAAGCACTTTCCAAAACAGAACAAGACATATTTTTAATGGCCCAACTTAAA